TTTCTTATGAGTATATACACTAGCAGTGGAATTTACTGCGATGCAACGGGGCGCCACCTGAAATCTTGCCTAGGGCGCCAAATTGGTTAGGGTGCGTGGGAGCCACAGCCAGGTCATTAAACAGGATCAGCTGGTTTGATGCCTTCTTAATTCACCAGATGATAATTAGAACATATCGCAGTTTGAGTCCATTGCATTTTTTTTTTTTTACAGTTCTGTAGCCTGTCATTTGTGATTACACGTGTAGATCCATGTACACCTTTGCTTTTCAGCACGAATACAGTCACAACATGGATAAATACATGGAAAGAGGAGACCCTATATTCAAATTATTGATTTATGAAGGAGAGCCATCAAAATACTGATATCTTGTCTTACTGGGTCAAAAAATGAACAAAACACACAATGGGTATTTTTAATTTTATTACATATTATCCAGTAGCAACCATCCTTTGGCACATTTGACTCAAGCAGAATACACTTTAAGGCCTGAGATGTATACTGTACCAAGAATATATGGAACAAAATAGACTTGAGTTTTGAGAGATATAACCATTCAAACTGAAAATAGTCTTCAATTTGCATTGGATTTGGCTTAAAGTTAGTCTATTCTAGGACATCTGAAGAGGCAGTGTGTACATGTTGCACCATGAAGGTAATTTCATACCCTATGTCTGATAGAATCTGGTGCATTTGTCTTCTAGTTGATCTTATTCATTAGATTTAGTAAATAAATAATTGCATCCCTTTGGCATGGCAGTGTGCAGTAGGTAATGTAAATGAGACAAATCCAACTACAAATCACAATGACTTCACTTATTTGAATGAACATTTCAAACAATCTGGCAGCAGGTTTGTCAGGCACCATTTGTGACACAATCCCACAAAATCAAAAGAGTCTTAAGGATGATTTGATCTGATTCCTTTCTGATGTAAACACAAAATAAATGTTGCAATTTAAGGCCAATGTTGATTCACATCTACTGAAAGCCAGAAATAAAAAGTCCACTACAAACACCAAAATAAATGAATCTCAAATTAGAGTAATGATACAGTACAAAGTTGTTGCGTCCTCGAGAGGTCAAAATATTCTATGATGCTCAAAGACGTCTGATCTTGCGTGTATGCTGGGTCTTGAGGTTAGTTTGGGTCATTGCTGTGGAAAATGACAGAAACAGAAATTAAATGCTCCAAGTTGTGATTGTGGTTTATTATTGCTGAGATTCTTCTTCTTCTCTGCATTTTATAGTCCTACTTTATTGTACAGGTCCATTAAGTCCTCATAATACTGTACATATTGAGCATACAGACACAAGAGTCATGTTGATCTTCTCTTTTAACTCTCAGCAAGAACACAAAGTGTAATCTAGAGTGCCTTTCAGCCAGAGCACGGTAGGTCAGGTGAACATGCAGAATTGTTACATAAAAATAGTTTAGTTAGATAAATAGTTTCAGATAATAACTGAATAACATATTAAAATTAATCTTTCTACAAATGCTAACCTAGACAGCACTCAGAGAGTGCAAACCTCTGCCATGCAGCTCAGTTTTCCCTTAATGCCATTTAAAAAATTTGTGGCTCAGGATGATGATGCGGATTACCACAAAAATCTAATGGACTGCCCAGTGGGCCATACCTCTCCAAAAATGTCATCCAAATCCATTCATTACTTTTTGAGTTGTGCTGCAAACAAACCAACAAACAAGCTTCTTCTTCCCTCAGATAATAACTAAACCCTGACAACTAATACCAAATCACAGTTGTTTCCAGAAATTATTAGGAAACAACGAGAAAAGTAAAGTGTTAATATTAATGTACTATTCAAAATCAAAACATAACTCCACCTCCAAGGTCCAGCTTGTAGGTATGTCCTTTCACGTTGAAGGTCATGATGCTTTGAGGGTTTTCCTGGTACTTCCTCTCAATGTCATCGCTGGTTACTGAGCATTCAGTAGAAGTGCCACGCTGTTGAAACAAGGCCATTCAAATCATCACGGGTTACCTCAGCACTTTGATTTAGACAGAGATCAAGTCTCAGAAATAAACTGGAACCTCCACTGCACAAGGGGACCTACCCTGTGTTTGAAATGGTGCCATCGTCCGCTGTCCCCCTCAAACTGCCACTGGGGTGTGGTGCCCAGAGAAAAGTTCTGAACAGCTGAGGTTAGCTGAGAAACTCTGTAATAATAACAACATCACATTGTGCTCCCTCACAACATTTAATGGAGGAGTTAAACATGTGAAAGTATGCTGCGTAACTGGCTGCTGGCAGTAGCTTCATGTTATCATACAGATGTGAGAGTGGTATCAATCTGCTCGTTTAACTCTCGGCAGGAGAATGAATTGAACACAACCCACACTCACCCTGCTCCTGCTTGCTGTTGTTTGTAGAGCGGTCGACGAGTGACTTTCCTCTTTTTGTTTTTGCTCACCTGTCGCATTTCTAGCAACAGACAACAATGAGGTAATCGGGTTAGTATGTGAGAAGAAATGACTTTAAACTGAATATTCTGTGAAAAATTGTGTGAGTATATACTGCACCTCTGAATCTAATCTCAAAGGTATCACCCCCGATGCTGAAAGTAAAAACACTTGTGGGGTTAGTCTGGAACTTGCTCTCGATGTCAGCGCTCTTCACGGGACTAGGGTTACCCTTTGAATCCTTCCCAGAAAAGTTGAAAAGTTATACATACTGTATATATTGAAAATTTTAGTTCAAAACATATCTTAGTGTATTTGTGCACACAAAAACAAAGGTGAAGTTGCCATCTACCATGTCTCCGTACTTGATCCACTTGCGACGTACGGTGCAGTACCAGATCCACACAGTGTTACCATCATCCAAACGCCTCACGCTCAGGCTCTTTCTATACACTCTCATCCTGTTAAAATCTATGCTCACTGCCCTACAGAGAGAAAGAGAAGTGACTCGTAGACAGGCTCCTCTTCCTACTGTACTGAAATGTTCGTTCAGATGCTTTTATCATGTTTTCAAACTGTGAAAAGTGCTACATAAATAAAACTATTTATTTACTTTCTCATTCAGCTCTTACCCATGTGGTGTGTTGTAGAGTTTGATGCTTTTGGTGTGGGGCAGGCAGTACTGGGCCTCGATTATGTGATCGTTTGCGACATCCTTCCAGCCTCCCCCATCATCGAACTGCCACTGGTAGTATTGGCCATTAGTAAGCTTTGGGTCTGCTTTAAAATAAAACACATAAAGTTCATTTTTATATTTAATGGGAGCAGGCTAAGAGCACTCAGAGTGATTTTTTGATCTTTTTTAAAGTGATTTAGCCCATTTTTAGTGATGTATGGTAAACCTTTAACTGTTAAAGGTGATTTATAATCTAAACAACATAGACAGATGTGCAGTAAGTGCTCTATGTACAGAGTGGGCAGAAGCAACAGTAGCACAACGTGGAGAAACTGACAGTACAAAGTACATCATATATAAAGTAATACTAACTAAATGTTAAGTGTAACAAATAAAAGAATTTCAAGGGAAATATAAACCATCTCCTGATTCAGCTGTTTCTCTCTCCTCACCTCTGGGTGTTGATTGGTCCACAGAACAGCTGCTTGCAGACAAATCCTTGCCTCCACCTCTGGAGTGCTTCAGCCTACATGCGGAGCCGTAGCGACAGTTCCCTTCAAGGTAAAACTTGCAGACATGCAAATAAGGGCACCTGTCACCGTCCCGACAGCGACTCTTGTTGTAATACTTGCAGGGCTTACAAATGAAAGAACAGTAGGTTTTACGTCACAACAGAGATGAATATAGATACGTGCTACGTCAGTTTGTAGAACAAATGGTGGTAAAAATGGGAACAAACTCTCATGAGCATATGGAAGACTTGTTTTAAGTGGGTTTCCTCATCACTTCTCATGGGGTTTACAAGTGATTAGAAATCAGATGCTGATTCCAACATCTTCTCTGTTAAGAAACAAACCTGACAATCTGTGTCTTCATCTGATTCTTCGTCACTGCCTGACTCATCACTCAAGTCAGATTCACTGGCAGTTTCATCGTCAGATTCTGAAAAATGGGCAGAACACCAGGAGAGAATAAAATGTTAGTTTATTGAATGCTTTTATTCACAATATCCAGTGTCTAACTCTAGGCTGCCTTACACCATGCATTACCGTGGCTCTGGGATCATTTAAGTAAACTAACACAACAAGGTCGCTACTGTGTATGTAGCTATATATAAAAATGTGTATAAATTAATAAAGGTAGGTGGGCCATACAATTAAAATACACCGCGTGTTGCTGCCCCCTGCTGGCCAATTAGACGAATGTCTTTGATTTACGTTTGAAAACAACTTAAATTAGATAATACTTATACGTCTGTGCCTTGAATTTAAACTTGTGTAAATGAGAAATTAAATTGAAGCATTATTTTTACAGTACTGGTTTAGCACTGGTTTTGCCAGATTTGCTAGGTGTGGTTATATATTATATATGCTACTGTAAATCTGTTTATGGGGCAAAATAGTCGCATGTGATTTAAAGGGAACTGACGACGAAAGATACACATAAAGACAACAAACACACATATCAACAAACTCAGCAATATAACAACAAGCAATACTGGGATACTTACGATGAGCTGTCGCCATTCTTCACGTTGAAATAGCCGACTTTCATTTTCATTTCCCAACTTTCGATACGTGAAGCCAGCCGCACCCACCATGTACCAGAGTACTGGTAATGAGACCCCGGAGGTTTTTATTGTATTTATTATTTACACTTTGTAAAATTTTTACATTTTTATTATGTTACTTTTAGCATTATACTATATTCCTAGGATAATTTTACGTGTTTAATACAAATATTACTGTTAAAACTTTAGCGTCGTTAATTTTGTGGCGTAGTGTACCCTCCACATTGCTGGGTGGCGATAGTAAACTGATTCGGATACAGGCGAGTTCCTGTCTACAGGTGGCAGTAAAGGGCTTTATTAAAAGCCAATGAAGAAGAATATAGGGCCCCTCTGAAGGAGGAACAACGAAGCAACCTTTTTCCTACGAAGGGCACTTGATTATAAGGTTAAGAATAAGAGCGGAAAATAAAAAAAAGATGGAATTCCAGGATCATGCGTACACCAGCACCACTTATGACAGAGTAAACCCGGTGGAATTCACGTACAAAAGTAAGCACAGTAAGTTGTGTTTAATCGAACTAACGTTAGCTAAACAGTTTGAGTAAGCTTGCGCTCCTAGCAAGTGGACTTCACGGCGAAAACACTCTAACAACCACTTATTTCATCATTATAAAGTGAATGTAGTTTACCTACATTTTCAGGCAACGCCCAATTAAGATGCTGTTTTCACTTCTATAGTTTCTAATCGAACGCAGATAATCTGTAGGGCAGCAGATCCAAGTTGCCAAACAAAGTTTATCTGCTAGCTGACTGATTGTGACACCTACACCTGTTGTAAAGTTCACCTAATGTCAAAAGTGAGAATGGGATAAAACCTCGGTCTTCTTCTTATTCGGTCATGGAGACTGGATGCTATAAATGGAAAACGGTCTTCATTTCTCATTTGAATTAAAAAGGAAGAGGCCAAATATTCTATACAATTATTGTGGATCAGCCTTATTTTTTACTGTACATGTTTAAAATCCCCATGCAGCAGTTTTTAACTAATTTGTGTCTTTCTTCTTTTTCTCTCTCTCAGTGAGTTCAAAAGAAATTGAAGACTTTGTGAAGCTCAGGGTTTCAAATAGTTACCTTTTTTCTGGAAGGAGAAATGCATCCATGTGGGCTTGGAGGTACACCAACAAGTTAAAGCTCCCAGATATTATTGTGCGAAAACAGAAAAAGGTCTGAATATGTACAGTATATGCAGGATCAAAAAATACCATAATTAAATCTGTCATACTTACTATAATATCTTAATATTCTGCTCATTATGTTCCAGTGCTGAAACAGTTGGTTATTCTTGTTGTTCATTATGACATATTTCTATTTCCATCCTCTCTGTTTTTGCTATATCTCTTGACCTATCATTTACTATTAAATGACTTATTCACCAAGCTCTGTTAACTGGGAAACTTTCCAGGGCCATCCTGTCACATATGGGACTGCAACACAAGATGACCCATTGTCAAGCATCCAAAAAATGGGAAAATATGAAGAAGAGATATAAGGTACTCTTATTTTTAATTTTAGATTAATAATATATTTAGATTTTTCTTTACTTGATACCCTTTCTTTGTCTCCCTAGGAGCTAAAGAACCCTCCAGATGGGGTGAAAGTGTTCCCTGAAACGTGGCCTTATTTCACCTTAATGGACAACGCCATGGAGGGTCGGCTGGAAGGCAATGCTCCCATCCTCAAAGCCTTCCCTAGCGATAAAGACAATTGCAATTTCTTATCCATCTCTAAACCCAAAAAGAGGAAGTTATCCATGGTGTCATCCCCGACACCTTCAGGAGCTGGTGTACCGGAGATCAAGGTTTCTCTGAATGGAGATGAGGAGGAGGTAGAGGGGGAGGAGGTGCAAAATGGAAGCAAAGAGATAAGCCATGTCATGCAAGAGGCAGATGATGAGAGGAACATGATAGACAGTGAAAGGTGCGTGATGCAAAGGGAGCAACAGGTGATGTTACGGGAGCGGC